ACTGACAAGCCTCCTGAGCTTGTCAAAGTTGGCTTTTCTGAAGTCAAGGACTTCTGTGTTGCTGACTGACTTGCCAGCTTTACGGCGGATGATGAAGGTGATCAGCTCATGGTCACTGTCACCCAGCTTCCCATCAATCACTAGGTCGCTGATTAGGTCATCCCCAGTAGCCAGTACCAGGTCAAGCAGCGCTTTACCTCTCATTGGCCCGTAGACTTCTTGAGTCAGGTAGAGGTCATCCACGTACGATAGGAAGCTTTGCAACCGCTCGGAATTTCCTGAGTGATACTCCCACGAGATGTCTGGGTAGTTGAAGTCACCCATGACAACCATGGTCCTGGAGCATGCGGCCTCAGCCAGTTCCTGGGTGAACTCCTGGTCAAGCTCTTGACTTTGGGTGGGAGGTCTGTAGTAGACTCCCACCGTTGTATCCCCTGTGCCATGTTCCCCACGGATTTTAACGCAGAGGGTCTCCAGTCATCCACCCTGGTCACCAATATCAGCTTACAGGGACGTGTAGCTTTCCTTAACATAGAGAGCTACACCCCGCCTCTTTTATCTACTCGATCTCTCCTGTACAAGGTACAGCCGTCTATACCCATGGTCTAATCATGGGTGGAGTTCCACCAGGTCTCTGTTATCCCTATGATGTCGTAATTATTTGTGTTAAGCAGGAGGATGAGTTCCTCCTGCTTATTCCCCAAGCTCCTGGCATTTGTGTACAGGCAGGCAAGTGTCCCCTTGGGGGCTCTTGCCTTGCCCACAGGTTGTACCAGGGCTGGGGCAGGGGTAGGCTTCCTTAACTGCCTTGGCCTGCTGGTTTTGCAAGGGTTGCTTAGCAGGCCAGCAGTGGTGGTAGTCCCCCCATCCCCCAGCAGGCTTAATTTAAAGCCCAGTGGAGCAGGTCAGCCAGTCTGGCTGAGAAGAGCCTCCTCCCCAGCAGAGGAGGATGGAGGCCATCTCTTCTCAGCAGCTTGCTGTGTCTCTCGCCAAAGAGTGGGCTGTGGTCATGGAAGCCAAAGCCTTCCAGATGACACCAGCACTGCAATCTTTGGGTAACTACCTGGATCCTCCTCTCCCTCCTCAGGCCATAGCCCGAGACTGGGAGGATCAACGAGAACACCACCTGTGCCCCCAAACCCTTTAGCCCCACTCCCAAATCCCTGTAGTGCACCATGACCCAGCTGGGAGCGCTCCGAGCCATGTATTGATGCACCCATTATGTAGAAAACTCTTACTGTCTTGTCCTTGACTCAACCCCAGGTTTTCCCTGTGGTCTGGGCTTCTTTGTATCATGTCATCAGTGAAAAGCAGGCCTAAAGCCATTACACACAGAATTCTCTGGGGGTGAAGAACCAGTGGAGTGGTTTAAATTCACACTTCCATTCTGTTCTTCTGAGTTGTGGGTATAGGAGACACAAAGACCCTTTGGCCTTGTCTCTGATATATCTGCATGAGTCTGAGTATAAGTTAAGCAATGTCAGTACAAGGCATTTTCTTTATCCCTCCCCCCCCATGAAGGATCCATGTGCTAATTCGTCCCCCACTCATGACTGAAACTGAGTATTCTTGTCATGAGTCCCGGGATTCTCAAAAAATATATATGTTGATGAGGTGCAGGGCAACCTTGGTCAGTTCTAGCTCATGATGGGCATGGCTACACTAATCATATGCAACAAGCTGAGAGGAGGAGTGACAGAGTGAAATGTTTGGGGTCCTGTTTGGTGATATTTGTCAAACACGTAGGGCTGGTGAGTAAACAGGGATCATTGGAAATGAGAAAGAAAGGCATAGCTCAACTGTGGAAAGGAAATTGAAATATATTCAGTGTAGTGGCTCGCCATGACTTGGAAAAAGAATGGGCACTGTGCACAATGGGTGCTACCATATCTTATTCAGGTGAGCATCACTAACCTATCCTTCTGGTAGGTTCCCATTAATATGTTTGCCTAATATGGGCCACGTGCTTTATAGTCATACTCCGTGCTAGCTGCATTTAATCAAGTTCATAATTGGTTTCTGTTACTGAACTCGTGCTATCTGGCAGTGGTTTAAGGATACTGTTTTAAATGATATTTCCTTGTATGCAAATGTAAAACAAGGAGCTTTTTCCCTGTGCTGATTCAGGAGGTGGGGAGGGAAACATGTCTTATAGTCAAGTAAATACATGCAGGTGGATCACAGGCTCTGATACCTTCTCTTTCCCTTACAAGGGAGGACACAACTGCAGAAGGTGATGAGAAGTCAGAACCAGTTCTTACCTCCTGAATCCTGGTCTTTTTCCTATGAATATATGTTCAGAGGCTATGTTAATTGATTCTAAGACATAAGAAGGTCTGTTTTTTCAGGGTCTTGCTCTATACAGAAAAGCCTTCTGTGTTGAGACAGTTCAATCTAAAGCAGTTGACCAAACTAAAGGTGCCCTCAAAATCCAGGCAATGTTATTGGTTTTCTTGTTTTCAGTCTTATCCATTTTGAACCCGGAGTCCTTTCCCCGCCCCTTTCCAGCCAAGGAAAATGTATCTTCTAAAATAAAGTGTCTGTTTGTAGCTCCATGGCTACTTTGTTCCAACCTTCTTCTAAACCCTCAGTTCTCTCATTACCACGCTCACCAAAGTACACATAATTGTGGACTTCGTTACTCATTCTCCTGAGGCTTCACAAAGGGTGGCATATAGAAACTGAAGGAAAGGATTCCCTCTATACAAACAGCTTAACCTACTGACTTTGAGATATATCACCACCGTGGTATTATATTAGGTTGTAGACTCCTTTCTGTGGAAAAATGCTATGCTGCCATGGTGGTGGTTTAATTTTATTGCAGTAATTATCAGGAATCCTGGTTTTACCTGATAAAAACATCACAAATTATCTGATAAAACCTCCAAATCTATGGTTAAAATGAAAGGCCCCCCAGCCCTACTTCTGTCCCTCACTCCCCACCACAACCCCACCCCGGCCCTGCTGGTGCTCCTCACCCCGCATCCACAGGTCCTGCTCACCCAGCCCTGCCAGAGGGGCCCCTCAGCTGCCAGGGCTATGGGGCCAGGGACCTGGGTCCATAGACCCCTGCCCCTGGCAGAAGGCAGTGGCTGCTGCAATGGAGCAGAACATGGAGCCTGGCTCCCCACCTGCTGCCTGCTGTAGGCTTGGGCAGGAGGGGGTGCTGCTCTCCACCATGGTGCACACTCCCAGAGGACAGGGGGACCCATGCCCCCCCAGATCTGTGTGCAGGGCTGTGTGCTGCCTACTTCAGGCTTGGGATCCCACCCTGCTGCCCTCCCCGCAGGGCCTCTGCAGCTTAGTGCAAAGAACAGCAGAGCTGTGCAGGAAGCTGCCTGCTGCTGTGAGCTCTGCACTGTCCTGCTGACATGTCCCCTGCCTGCACTGCTGCAATGGTTGCATGCAGGGGATGCAGGCAGTGTGGCGTTCACAGTGGCAGGCAGCTTTCTGTGTGGTTCCACTGTTCCCTGCAGTGCTAGGTTGCACACGCTGGGCTGCAGAGGCCCCAGAGGAGGGCAACAGGGCAGAGAGCATGAGCCTGAAGTAGGCAGCATGCAGCCTTTGTTCCATGTACAGGTCTGGGAGGTACAGGTCCCGGCTGCCCCCAGGAGTGGGAGCAGCAGTGGGGAGCTGGCCTCACTCCTCTGCCTGAGCCTGCAACAGGCAGTTCACTCCCACCCCTGTCCCATGCACAGATCTGAGGAGCACAAGTCCCCCTGTCCCCCAGGAGTGCACACAGCAGTGGGGAG